GGAGACAGCCTGACCTGTTTTGATTAGTTCGCCCGTTTCTCGTTTGCTGGCCATTTTTTCTGGAGTGTGACACAAATGGTGAAAATGATACTGCCAAATCAATCAATCAGGATACGGCTTGGATACGCTGAAACTTTGTAAATCGTCCTCTTTTCAATTGTAAACTTTATTCCAGTGTAATAAAGGTATACCTACATGTACCATGAACAATTGTATCACATCACTTTGGAAATTTACGCTAAATACATGTACTAAATACTAAACAAGCGCACATATCGTATTCATTTACAGCATCGGATTTTAAAACAATGACTCGTGGAATCACAAAGAAACTGTTAAGTACGTATTTCACACATTACAGAGGACCGCGGTAGAGACCGGTACAGTGGTAGAGACCCCTAATTATAAGCAGTCCGCGGCTCTCCCTGGCGTTCTGCGGTACACCGCGGTAATGACCGCGGTGCACCGTCTGTTTGATTTCCTACTCTTCCCTAAATTAAAACCCAGTGAATATGTAAAATTTAGCATAAATTACATTATCTAAATAATAAAACTGAATTTAAAACCCACTGAATATGCCTGAAATGCTAAATCAGCGAAATTTAAACCCAGTGAAAATTACTCATTTTACAGTACCTCATGAACTTTGACAGTGCATATTTAACCACCAGTCGGTCAAAAAGGACAACCAAAAACAAATCAATGTGTATATGAAAATTTCCTAGCTGTCGTGACTTTCACAAAATTTTGTCTTCATGAATGCCATGAAATCCCAAAATTTCTAGCAGTGAAAATTTAACTATTTACAGTAATTTACAATATCACATAGATGCAGGATAAATGATTACAAGTCATTAAAATAACAAACATTAAGTGGCAAAATTATGTTTCAGAATAAAGATCCTGTCACGTAAATCATTTTCTCAAGTGACAGAGAATCATTGTAAAGGCACTGAAAATACTTTCTCAATTCAATCTTATTTTACAAAACAAAAATGGAAAGAAAAATTCAACATCTTCATGGTCAGTTTTTATAACAGGTATTACAATAAATTAATGAAAACAGAAATAAAATGTTGTATTAATAAGAACTTACCCAAACATTAAATTTAACATTTTTGTACGTTACTGTTTCTACATTGAAGCCTACTGTTGGAATTGTTGTTACTGATTGACCTAATTTTAATTTATACAATATAGCTATAATAAACATTAAGGAAAGTAATTATCAGGTAAATAACAAACATCTCTTATACATTTTCTACATATTAATTATGAGCATGACACCAATTCTTTAGCGGTATTAGAGTGCCACGAAACAATGATCAATTTGGGCCAAGCCCAGTTCCTGATGAAGGGTCAAAGTTCAAAGTGTCAGGTTGCCTCCCATTTTAAGTACAACTGGTGAATACAAGAGTTTTGCTGTAATCAATACAAGTCCAGTATAGGAGGGTTAACCTTGGCTGTGAAAGTACACCATCACCACCCCTTAATTGTTTTGATTGTACACATAGGTGTGTTATAAACAAACCACCATTATTCCTATAGTTGTTCACTTTTAATTGTTATATTAATAAAGGATACTTGTTTTTCCAGCTGCATCTAGTCCTAACATAAGAATTCTCATTTCTTTATTCCCGAATATTTTAGATATTAACTTCCCCATCTTGTCATGTGTCTTGAGTTGTCAATACCTGCCCACTGCACGGGAGAATGATTGAGGGAAGCACTGACAGCCTCGTTATTGTGATAGTCCTGCAAATCAAAGATGAACAAAACAAGTGTGAACATCAAATAATGATGTATATGCATGCACATACGTAGAATGCATTGTTCATACAAATATTTTTAACATGGATTGAGCAGCAGCCGTCATGGATGTAACATTCGACAAACCAACCACAAAAGGTATTTTACAAATTTAGAAACATAGTTTGTTATGACAATTCTTTTTTTTCTTAAATCAGGGTTCATTGTAAAATTACATTGCTATTAATTATTCATGATACGCAAATAAAATGCAAATGCCAAGGCTGACCTGACCGGTTTAGATGGCACACTCTGTGGTGATATTTCACCACCATAACCAAACCAGAAACCACCTCTACCCACATCATAAATATATCAGTTACCATATTGTCCTAAGGAAGTGCTGACATATGTCAGTATCAGTGTGTCTTCTAAGCTGATATGATGTGCCAACGGATGCACACAGATTTGCTGTGATGAAACTGGTTGTGCTAATTAATTCACTGACACGTCACTGAAGCACTCGTACATTGATAGAGATCTTAAAAAATATCTTACTATATGAAATTCACATATATAAAAAAAAATGTGTAAAAACAAAAGAAATCAGGGGCCACAAAGCAGTCAACTCAACTCAAATTTGAGCGAGTTCCATTTTGAGCCAGAACCCTCATAAAAACCGTTCTTTTACAAGTAAAGGGCACACTGGTGAGTATGTTTCCCATATATGTTTAATAAGTCAAATATGGCATTCATTGAATTCAGACAGCACAAACCATATGAAGAAAAATAGAAAGAGATCTGACACTTCAGTTTGCTCTCCATGCATGGTCAACAAAATGTTTTGCATTAATTGCATGGACTGGTGGCTGTACAGAATGGACCTTTTTATGTGCAGCACATAGTAGAAGTGGATTGCTGTATAGTTTCAATAAACAAACAAAACTTCCAGCCAACCTGATTAGGTAATTATATTTAGTGATGGGTAACGTGTACAAAATGCAGTTACCAATATGTAAAGCATGTACATGCTTGAGTAAAGATGATTCACATACACGATAGCTAGTAAACACTAGAATGCAGTCACACAAATAATATTCATAAAATTATACAGGGTAAACGTATAGAATATTAAATTCTGCATTGTAATAGATGGATTAAGGATGAGGCTAGGTAGCAACCGAGAAAGTATAGAAGCTTCCAGTTGTTACGCGAGACTAGTTTCCACTATAGTGGTTTCTCATACAACTGTACAACACATTGACAGGCTGTAATGACAGACCATTTTCATTTTCTGGCCCTAGTGACTATTACACTCAAAGCTGTCTGGCATTAAAAGTAAAATCAAGCTAAGCTGAACTGAAGAGAACAGAACAGCTCTGCATGAATAGATCCTAGTATCACAACTCACTTTATATGTATTGTATTGGCTAGACTAGAAATTGCTGTTATCATCGCTTGGGACTCAATTCCTGCATGTGTGCAGATGACAAACCTCCGCTTCAAATATTCACCGGAGGAAACCTCTAAGTACAAGTTTGAAATACAGCAACTCAAAAAGCAAAAAATCCCACAGAAAAATTTCAAGTGTTACTATTATATCATAATTAAATTACATTTGTATAACATCTATGTCACACCTAAGCTATGGTACAAGTTATGGGTTTGATTCCAAGAGTCTACCCTGCCTTCCAAATATTTGGTATTAGATTTGGGGACTGGGCCACACATGCACTTGCAATTCCCGTCAGATGTGATGCAATTCCATTTGAGAATACGTAACCTACCTAAAGAGCGAGGGTAAGACAATAATATAAAAAGTCAAACGAACACCGGCAGACATGAAACCCCAGAAGAAGTGAGTGGTATATTTAAAACAGTTAAAGATAGCGGTGTGGTTGTGGGTGGGTACAAACAACGACAGATAGGAGAACTATTTAAGACAGCTGAGAAACATGAAAATGAAAATATTATGCCAAAGATAATTTTCACGTTTGTTTTTCTTACTTAGGCAGAGTAGTGTGTAATTTTTCAGAGGCTGGTACAAGTTAGTTGAAAGATGATGGCAGTTTAATTTGAGGGGAATTTTTACGTTACGAATTAGAAGTATTGATGTGCGATGTACTACGTTCAAAATCTATCTCCCGGTTTGTTGACCTCGGGTTACACAATATGCGTATGTGCATAAAATGAACGCACAATTGCTATCAATTCGGGAATAAGGATTTGCAATTAGCACCTAAGACCAAAAAATGGAGGAGAGACAGGAGTGACTAAAAATGTTGAAAAATGTTGTCTGGCACAAAAAAAAAATAACATCTACGTAGAAATTGGCTTTGGGTCATATTTTGAAAATTAATTACAAGTTAAAAGCAAGAGCAAGAGAGTTGCATGTGGCTCAAGCCAAATCCCTACATACTGTAAAATACTTTATTTTCGCTGAAATGACTTTATGTGTGTTATATGGAATTTATTTTCACTGATTTTTGACGAGTTGAACGTAAAAGATCGGAAAAAAGGTAGGAAAGTATTCCACAGTACATCATTACTTATAATTCATCAGGAATCAGAAAGTTTATTCAAGCAAACAAGCCCAAAATTATTTCTGACTACCGGGGGTATGCAAATTACATATGGTCATTCTACCAATATTGTAATTTTGACTTTCAATGGATGTAATAAATAAATAGCACATAGTTGTATGAAGAAGATATATCATGACAACTAACATATACATGTACATGTATGTCAATTGGAGATAAATTATGATTATATTCTTGCAATAACTACAGATGGTCTACGCAATAATAAAGTAAAATAAAAAAAACCTGTCTGCTTAATCCAAAATTTAGCACATTACCGGAAATGTCAAATTTGTTTTATTTATTTGGTCTTAGCGAGTAGCGGAACCGGTTGTACAAACAGGACGTCAGTCATGTCGGGCAAAATGTAGTACAGACATGTAGTACCTAAAAATCTACCATGATACCCATAATATCTGTATATATGTAATATATAAATGTATACTTTTTCAGTTGGGAAGTGAAGAAAAGGTAGTTAAAAATAGGTGAAAAACATACATTTGTGTTTCATATTTATGATATTAACGGAAACTCTTGCAATATATTTTATGGTTACCCTATATAAATTTTGCAGACATACTATATTAACTTTGAATTCCAACAACAACTACATTTGTGTACAATGCCATATCATAGCAACACCAAAAGGCCAAATAAACTTCACATCGTGGTTAAATATTGAATTTATTGAAAGACAATACAGCTCAAAGGTGAGTGTGACAGTTAAATGTCCTAGTCACATCACAGGAAATATTCAACACTTCTTAGCAGTGTGTCCTCTGTAAAAGGAAACTTGGTACGAACATACACAGGATATTTATGTACAGAAATGCAGTGAAATAGTGTACTATAATTTATTCTCTTGCAAGAAATGAGTTTGTCAAAATAAAAAAAATAACAGGTGTAGCTATAATATAAACACATATTCTGATGTATTTTTAGTCGCACCTTGCATGCAACAGTACTGTTTAGTGGAATTGACAAAAATAAAAATGTGAATATCAATAGAGCTGCATATCTTTAGTTTATTGGGGTCCAAAAATCATAATATGTAATAATTTAATTTAAACAGCATTTTATTTTTTAAATGGATGTACATACATGCTGTACATAGTGACTAAGGTTGTGGGTGTGGTTGTGTGCAAGGTTTTTTTTTTTTTTTTTCGTTGAACCATAATCCCAGCAATACAAATATTACACACCCTCCTCCTCTTTCATCAACTCATTAAAGAAGCACATGAGGGATCCCAAAAGAGTGTCTATCACCTTATCCAGTCGAAAAACCAACAATAATTTGATGTTGTACAATAATGACAGCGAGGCAGTGAGAGTTTATAGTCTCAGTAATAGAACCACACATGTGATGACATACTGGTACCTGCTGCTATGCCAGTGTCAGAAAGGTTTAAATTAGTTACACGTGTGATGGGGTCTAAAACATTTCCTCATCCCATCATACATTGATTTCCATCATACATTCAAATTCCAACCAAGATTAATTAAGGGCTCGTGAGTACACATTAAGATCATAACATTCGGGAGTTTAGACTACACATTGAAAAAATATTAAAATTGGCCCATTGGGTTTAACTGACTTAAATATCAACCATAAAATAAACATTATTAAATATGGATGCTAACTGATATTGAGGAAGCGAAAGGCCGAATGTTAAAAATAGGAATTACCGGTCAATGTATCTCGTCGTAGCTAGCCAAACGATAAGGCACTGAATGACCTCAGATAAACCTGAAAGTCGAAGTGTAATGTTTATCACCGGAGATATCCATTACGATAACACAACTTAAATTTTGAAAGTAATTGAAAATAATGCGATTTAAAAATAAAGATGTATTGAAGCACATGTAGAAAATGCTGGCGTTTTTTCCGAGCCATGTGCATTACTTGTAGTATATAATGTATATACACAGTCTTGTTGAGGTGGTACGATTACTTCTGTCGATTTATACACCTATGTAGGAACAGTGTATAGGACTTTGAACACGAGTACAACTGGGTGAACAGTATATTTAATAAGAAATCAAGTACTCCGGCAAACTAACATGGTGCGTTAGATAAAAACAAAACACATTTATAAGGACAACCTGTAAACTAGAGACATAAAACTCGAGCCCCATGCTCACGTTTATGAGAGAATTACTCACCTTTAGGGCCTCTCGCCCAGCAACTTCCGGGAAGCGTCAACCGCGAGATTTTCAGACTTCTTTGCAAGAAAATAAAAAGAATCAACTACACGTCCAGGAAAAAGACGAGTTAGCAGCTAAAATAATATCCCTTGGCCGGGAATAGTTCTTTTGTTTGGAACAGGTACTGTCAAAAGCCTAATTGTATTTGAATTTCACTTCAGCGAACCTCCCAAAATGGCGGTTGAAGTATACGAGACCGCGTCACCCACAATTTGCCGGGTATCCCTGAGAAACAAATAGTGCAGGCGGAAGAATAATTTTTTATTTCTTGTCTGTATGATATTTTAAAAACACTTATATTAGCTATACACGTCATACGTACACAAAAAAACCTAAATCCGCTTACGCGTGGTTTGGAAATAAGATAAAATAACGCGGAGTGATACTCTGGGCGTTTCTTTGCTGAACGATGCACAGTAATGTCCCGGATGATGTTAGTTGATGACTGTAGTTAGTTCCAGCTAGTACGGTGTTAGATTTTCTGGTATCGGGTATAATAACAGAATGGTTCCTATTCCGGACAGGATCCTGAAATGCCAATCATAATACGGGAGTAATTTATGGAACCATTGACATTTATCTTGATTATGTTACACTCGTAATGAGTAAATCTTGAACGAGGCGTATTTTTACATGAAATATCGGTTTCAAATCAGACAACTTTCGAATAATGATTTTTCAAAACGAGCTTATTGTGAACAACCGAAAATGCCAAATGAGTACACATAGATGAGCTAACAATATTTTAAAGAAGAAATTTCAGTTCACTCTTTAAATCCACAATTCTTGTATCTGATAAATATTTTTTTTTTAAAAAAAACGTAAAATAAAATTTCACTAATAAATATATTAAGTAAAGGAGATCTGAGTTTTAAAGACATTCATGGAAATAAATCTTTCTCATTCTTTTGACTGTTATTAATCTGTTTAAATTTGAAACAGAATATTGTTGTCTCATCTCAGAACAAGTAATCACATTTTTGTCTCAAAACTTCATTAGAAAATAGAATATGTAAACAATTTTTACAAAATGAAATTCAATTTTTTTCATGCATTGTCAGCCTATTAATAAAAAATTATTATTGAATATGAAATTTCCAACTGGAGTAACAGATGGTTTTCAGATGTTCGAGTACTTGTTGGGTAACAGCAAGACCATTATATTAAACTTGTTTATAATTGAAACAAAAACTAAACTTGGTCATTTATTATTTACATTGTAATTTTATTCATTGAATGTTTTTACTTCAAATTAATTGCTGTTAACTTGAAAAAATTTAAAAACACTTAATGTTCGAACACCGATGTTCCTTCCCTTCTCATTAATCAAATCTACTGCCCCTTTCCCACATGAGACAGATGCACACTTCCAACCAGGTCATTTTTATTTACAAATGTAATAAAATCTGCTGACTTCAGCCAAAATTGAATAGAAAGAAGTTTCAATTTTGCTCTGATAAACAGTTGCTTGAACCAAGGTTCACACGAATATAGACTATCTTCTGTGCCATCTATGGAGGCGCTCAATTTATGGTGATTTCAATATGATTTTCCAGGTGGTTAGTACAGTTTTGGGACCAAAGACTTGTTCATTTTTTTGAGAGCCTTGTACTATTCCTAAGTGCTCGTTTGTTTCTTTTTGTTGTAACTAATACTGTTCTAATTTGGAATGGAAAAGTGTTTTTAAATAAATAAATACAATATAAATATTCATGAGTGTATAGATTTGAAGGATTAGGACAATTACATCGGGGATCAAAAGTCTTTGATTAAAATTTGTCATACCAAAGGGATGACGTTCTAAAACAAGCACATTAACGCCTACTTAGCTCATTTTCGTTAAATTACACAAAATTGGCACTTACATGGTGGGGGAGGGGGAAGTGAAATGACAAAAATATACAAACGTGTGGCTTGTCAATTATGACAAATGCAAGAAAATAGAGGCAGTTAATTTTTCACTGAATTATATCTGTAGATTTATTCTTTCTTACATAAATGACAAAAATTACGAGAAAGCAAACAAACCATTGACCTAGAAATTCATGGCGAATGAGCAAACTTAGTGCTATTTATTTTAACACCAAGAAGATGGAATAAAATACACAAGGAAGAAATCTTTGGGTGTTCACTGCTGTTTATTGCACCAGTAATATTTAACAATAAATATACAAACATAAATAAGAGGGTAATCATTACATACATGTCCAAATATGAACAGGGGTTGAAGACAGCATTTACAGACAATCAAAAGGTTGCTGAATGTTTTCCCACTTCAAACATGATCTGTGACTGACAATAGAATCATAGACAAGCCATCATTCTACAATTCAGAAACATTCAAACATATTACCCAGGGTAATGCCAATCGATGACAAATGTACAGGGTGTGAATAGAGTCAAGACAAAAGTAAAATAAGTCACATTTTAAAGAACAATTTGTTATTTTCATCCCATACTTGCTACATATTGTACATAATGTGAAACAATCTGTTCCTAAATTAGTTACAGTTGTGAGCAAAATTGGAAACATTGAATGGCATACCGTATTTTCTCTATTAGAGGCACAACTTTAATAAAAGTACATGTAAACCTTTCACTGTATACAGAATCATTTGAATATTACTTATTTTGACCATAGACACAACTTTGTCATTTACATTGGCACATGGGCTGCTATCATCGCAAGTACTCTGTATGTATGAATGTAATGTAAACATTACCCACTGTTGTTGGCTTTTGTAAAACAAAATATATGGTTAGGGCAAAAACCAATTACAATATCAATCACTCACTCCAGTCTGCATATCATCATACTTCAGTTTATCTACATATGGTAAATTTAACTATCTATATTTTGTTATCTGTAATATTTGAACTATGAATATATTTCCTACAAATAATTTCAGGCAGTAGTCTCAAAGCATTTCAATTCCAGCATATATTAACTTTGCATCATGTTACTTGTGAAAAATATTATGGTTTATTAGAAGCGGCATCTTCAATAGATTCACACAAAAGTAAACTGAAATATTGATTGTGACAAATTTGAGAGAAACAAAACATTAATGACCATTATGTTAAAAGACTTGACGGCATTCACATAAGGACATTGCTTCTAAAGCAGATATGTCATGATTTGAATTTACAGCATGATTTAAATTTTTCAATGATTGTAGTAATGCAAACTAAAAATCCCAGCCTACACAAGGACAGTCACCAGGCTAAGACCCTCACATGTATTTGTAGGAATATTGTGGTTTTGTTCTCAATTTAAAAACAAATAAAAAAAGACGATGAAACATTTAGAGTATTATTTGTGACACGCAAGTTTTAAAATACATTGTGAAACACTTAAAAAAGTACAACATTGAAAAAATTAAGAAAAAAAAGTTTGGTCTACTAGCAGTGTTGCTTCATATGTTGACATCCAAGGTGTTTTGGCAGATCATATGACATCCAAGCACATTGGGGGGAAAAAAGTTTGGCAATTCCATGAAAATAGAAAATATCCAACTTCAATAATATTTCATTAATTGAAATATCACTCAGTAACAGCTGATTTATTTAGCACTTTCACTGAGTTAACAAGGATTCACTCATTGCCATTGCCAGTCTAATAACCATGTATTTTGGATAGCAATGTGTAAAAATAGACGTACTAGACCAAGAACCTGGTATCTCTATACTACATCATGACATATAACCCCCTCCCCTCTACACGATAAGCCCCAGTAGTTGTAATATCACAATGTGCTCTACAGAATTCACGTCTACATTACATAAACTATGCATTAATTTGTTGTGTCTAGAGTGGCTCAACCATCAATTATCACCAATTGATCCATAACTTTACTTTGTTTTGATTCAATATCACAAAAGTTGTTGGGATACAAGAAGAATGTTCATCACCTAAAATAAAATGAAAGACATGATAATAATGATATTTAAATATAGTAGTACACATTTATCAATTCACATACATTATTCATTTTTATACATTAACACTTTTTCACTTTCACTTTTAAATATAACTATTTACATCAGCCACTTTCGATACAATTCTTGTGTGCCAAATGCAGAATGAATAGAAGGAAGTCAAACTATTTGTCCAGTGTTATCTTGGTTCACATCCCGCATTCAGAGTTATTGGGGAACCAGAACTGCAATTGCATATTACAGCCAATGACATGGTGCGAGTGTGTACAAATCTTTTGCAATCTCGGCAGTCGCTGGGTTGGTGTGGCGCGTTAGCTGGTGTATACTGTGTAACGTTGCGTATGTGTGGGCAACGTTCAGTACAATCAATGAGGACTGATTGACAAACGTCATTGATGCTGGTGAATGTTATGAATTGCAATTGACCTCACTATGATGACGTATACATTGAGGAATATGGAAAAATGGCCTGAACCATGCGCACTGCATACACAATATGCTAATAACAAGGTTATGACGTAGACATATCTCAAGAATATTATTTTAAAGTGCAATTATTAATAGAAAGCATTTACTATGAAATGCCGGAATCACATATTTTAAGTCTTGACCCTTGTTCTGTTTATTGTAGTTAAGACTGTACACGCTTTCTATCATATGTCTACTTTTTGAACTGTTTGTCGACGTGAACGTTGACAAACCTAAATACTCTGTAGGTTTTGATTGTATACAGCGCCCCAGTGGCTGTTCCCGGCTCCATGATCCAGCCATTCAAGATAGGCATACATTTAGGGGAATGTGCACACGCCATTAGATATGTACACATACCACTAAACATTTAAAAGCATACATGTAAATTCGTTTTGCAAAGGAAACCATTTGAAGCAGCCATTTGAAGACGAACTATAAGTCAATAGGAAGAAAACAAAATGTGAAAAACAGCAAAGATCCGAAATAAAAACAAGATTATGGTGAATGCATGGAAAATGAGTGTGAAGTTGCAAATGAAAACACAATTTTTTTTAAGATATTAAACAGTTTTGAAATAAATATTTGTTAAATTACCATTGCGATTTCTAGTAAAATCTCCAGAAATAGAATGATGGTCTTTAACAAAAGAATCCCACTAAATTGTCAGAATTTCAAATGGAAATAATTACAAAGAAGGTACACTGAATGCATAACCATCATATACAATATACCTACCTAATAAAACTAACACTGCAAACTATAACAATATACATGATT